GAGCCTGCTTCAGATTCTGTGTGTGTGTGTGTCTCTCTCTCTCACTGCCCACTCACACTCTGTCTGTCTCTCTCAAAAACATGAGAGAGGGATTCTGTGTCTCCCTCCCTCTCTCAAAAAAATAAATACACATTAAAAAAAAAAGTTTGAGGTCACTATATTTGAATTTCTGGGTATGTTGATTTTGTATAAAATCACATAAGCCTAACTTTAAATTAAATATAGGAACCAGCTAAACCAATAAGAGGTTGAAAAATAGAAAAAATAAATTAAAAATTTTAATATTCTCTTGCCAAAATAGAAAAATTAAAAGAGTACCAGTATACAAAAATTATCATCATTGACACAGAACTCAGAGAGAACTCAAACACTACTGTTGAAAGTTTAATGAAGAGTTATCTGGCCAGTGTATCAACAGACAGGATGCAGTTCAAATGAAGATCAGAATAAACAGGTCTAATTATTTTTAATGAAGTATTTTGTGTTCACTGTAGGACACAAGAAACAACAGGGTCAGATAAGATAGAGGTTCAGAACTTAGAGAACAGTGGGCAAGTGTTAGGGTCTAATCAGTGCATCAGTGATTGTGGTTTATCTGGATTCAAAAGCAATCCACAGGACCAAAGCCCAGAGGTTTAGGCTACAGGAACCGTAAGTAGCAGTTGTCAGGTATAAGCCAAGAACCTAAGAACCAGAAAGACACAGCAGAATTTAGGGAGCCCATAGCTTTCAAACAGGCTAAGTTAATTAAAGGTCTGCAAACTTAGAACTCAAGGCAGAGATATAGGGGCCAAAAAGCAAATGATCAATGAACCAGATTTTGGAGATTAAGGTAAGAGAGGTTTGGAAACCAACAGCAAACCAAATATCCAAAATCAAAAGTTAGGCATAACTCTAGCTCACTAGATACAAAGAACACCATGACTACAAGTGTGCCTGATTACAATAGAGGTGGGAACTCAGTTATATTTCAAAGTATAGTAAAACCTTGGCTTGTGAGCATAATTCGTTCTGGAAACATGCTTATAATCCAAAGCACTTGTATATCAAAGCGAATTTCCCCGTAAGAAATAATGGAAACTCAGATGATTTGTTCCACAACCCAAAAATATTCATACAAAAATGATTACAATACTGTAATAGAACACAAAATAATTAAGAAAATACAAAATATAAAGAAAAATAAACACATTAACCTGTACTTATCTTTAAAAACCTTCATGGCTTGTGTGAGAGAGATAAGAGAGAGGAGGGTTATTGTGCAGGACTTTCACTATCACTAATGGAATCACTGTTATGTACTGGCTCAATGGAATCTTTTTCTGCATCAGGGCCATTGTATATGCTTGCATGGATGTTGACTACAGTATAGTATTAATAAACTCTTGCCATATATTGTATTTAATCCAACTGGCAATAAGGCAGCAGAGGAAAGGGTCTATATCTGCGGGCAGCCTGACCTAGAATGAAGCAAAGCATTCCTAAGCTTACTCTTGTATGGAAAAGCAAAGGACTGTCCATAGGTGGTTTGAAGTGACAAAAAATACACTAATGCCAGTTGTGGGCACCTTCCAACATTCTGAAAATCACTGATTTCTGCCAAACACTACAGCCTGAGACCGAGCACCTGAACATGGGAGACGATCACCACAATTCCACAGCAAGCAAGAAAGAACCATTGGCTCAGTTGTGATCATGTGACATTCGGCATCATGTACCACTCGTATTGCAAGACATCACTTATTTATCAAGTTAAAATTTATTAGAAATGTTTGCTCCCTTGCAGAACACTCACAGAACAAGTTACTCGCAATCCAAGGTTTTACCGTATATAAATTTAAATAATTCTACTGCTAAGGGCTTCTTGCCTGACTGAATATTTCTTGTGATGTCCATGTTTCCTCTCTGATCCCACTTGCCAACATTGTTCCCTTCTTTGGAAATTTGTTTCCAACCAAACAGGATATGAGGAGATGACACAGAACACTTATCTCTTCTCTTTTCCATCCATACATACCCAGAATGAGATAGATAGATAGATAGATAGATAGATAGATAGATAGATAGATAGATTTTTTTTTAATTTATTTATTTTGAAGGGGGCGGGAGAGCAAGTGAGGGAGGGGCAGAGAGGAAGGAGAGAGGCTGTCACTCCCAACACTGTCACTGTCAGTGCAGAGCCCAACATGGGGCCTGAACTCACAAACCACAAGATCATTAACAGACTAAACCACCCAAACACCCTCAGAACTATGTTCTGAGAATTAAGGGACCATAATCTGGTCCTCACTTGATCTTTAACTACCATAGCACAATCTCTCAAGTTATCATGATCTCCCTCACATGCCTTTCCACTCAACAAATAGCAAACCCTAGGTCCCTGTTCCTGCTGGGGTGTTGTCAGTTAGTGCAGCTACATGGTAAGAGCAGCACGAAGAGAACTGGGGAAGGGAACAAGAATTACACATACGAGAGGTGGGCCATTTCCATTCCTTTGCATGAGAAATATGCAAAAGCAACACAAGGAGGAAGAAGGGCCTTGCCTCATTCTGCTTATAATTCTTCATAACGGCCTAATGCAGGGTTGGCAAACTTCTTCTGTAAAGGACTGGGAAGTAAATTATCAGGATTTGCAGGTCAGACTGTCTCTGTCACAACTGCTTAACTCTGTCACTGTTGCATGAAAGCAATTACAAACAATAAGTAAATGACTATCTAAATATATAAAGCATGTAGATCTAGATCTTGTACCAACCAATAACATTGAATATGGTCCTTAAGATACTAAGCAAAAAGCTACATCTTATGTTATTATCCTATTCATCTCTAAAGTGAGGATGATTGATAACTGATAAGGCATTTGTTCTCTCACTTTCTAAAAACGTGATATCAAGTTAGCCTTTTATGTGGTCTAGACTCTAGCTCTACAGCTACTTGGAATACCAGAAAATCATTGAATATATTAACTTGGCTTCATATACAAAGTTTTTATTGACTGGGAGTGCCAGGCTAGCTCAGTTGGTGGAGCATGCGACTCTTGATCTCAGGATTGTGAATTTGAGCCCCATATTGGGTACAAAGATTACTTAAAAACAAACAAAAAAATCTTAAAAAATAAAAAAAAAAAGTTTTTATTGATTGAAAGTTAAGACTTTAGCTTTGGGTTTTATTGATATATATCTGAAATGCTTACATGAAGGATAATTACATTTTATGCAGAACTACTGAAGAAGACACTATTATGTTTCTAAATGCCACTATATAAGGATACCTGCAACACATCCCTTTAAAATTTAATACCAGGAAAATAGTTTGTCTTTTCTCAAAAAAGTGATAGGCTTCCTTTATCAGACAATGAGATATATGTCGAATATCATGTTTCTTTTTTTACTTCAACATATGAGTCAGAATCAAATTTTATTTTCAGGGGTGCCTGGGTGGCTCAGTCAGTTAAGCATCTGACTCTTGATTTCGCCTCTG